TATTTTTCCAGGAATCCTTATCATCCTTTTAAAGTACTTTAAAGGTCTTGCAATTGCAGTTATTTGTATCACTAAGTCTCTCTGGAAAAATTCCCCCAGGAATCCAAGAGCATCTATTGTCTGGGGGGTGTTCGGCTTATATCTTCCCCCGCCTCTCAAGCCCATTTCTTCAGTCTTCCCTCTCCTATATAATAGTAACAATTTTGTACAGTACAATTTGGTACAAATGTAACCAATTGCCAGAATTGAACTTGGACAGTAGCCAGTTAAATTACTTTTTAAAAATCTTCTCCAAAAAAATGTGCACATCATTTTTAGTCCTTTATTCAGTTGAGAATTCTGTGTACCAGCACCAACTTCAGGCGTCACAAAAACTCATCAATAAGGTGCTCAACCAACATCTAAGTATGTCTGGAGAATCTGCTCACAAAAGCCTGCTTGTTGAACTTTGGTTGTATTGGGGCATTTTACAGTTCCAACCTCAGGAAATGGAAAAAATAGCTCAAAAGTTCAGGAAACAAAATATATACAGTAACTAACAACTCTGATCCAATCACATCTAGATCAGTTTAGAAAAAATATGTACATATCTTTTTGAATGGGTCTTTCCATTGGTGTGTAATGCCTGAGATCCTCAATGCCCCAGTGGAAATGACAAATGTTATTTTCCTAGCAGGCTACCTCTTAGTCACAAACTCCATCATACGATTCCATATGTATACAACAGCTTTTGAGCCATTCTTAAATTTCCACTGCTCTGATAAATTAGTGACAAGTTGAAGGCAACATCTCTTCGCAAGTCTGTCTGATCAGCTTCTATTCCCTGGAAGAATTAAAAAATCATTTACTAGCTTGCATGAATACTATACCATAAGTTACATTAAAAAACAAAATCAGTGCAACAACATACATGGGCAAGTTCTTCATCATCTAGGTACTCAGTTCATTCCCACCACATTCAGATAGTTACATTGGAATTCTGTATTTTTATACTAAACCTTCATACTCATGAAACACAAAATGCCAGTTATATTTAATATTATTCTGTCTTTTAAAATGGCCCTTATGTACACTTCTTTATTCAGGTGGCAAAGTTCTTCAGCAACCATTTTCTTGCAGTTGCTACACCCAGCCAGATAATAAAATAAACCTGACAATCATTACCTGAGCAATTTGAGTTATACATGTTCATAAATACAGCTCAGATGATAAATCAAGTGCTTTCTCTAGTGCCTATGAAATTATATTGGGGTTATTCAATGCAAATATAAACTAGACACTCGTGCACTAGTTTTACTTCTGGTTAAAACATATTAGTAATGCTGATCTGATTTTACTTTTATAGTTCAAATGTTTAACCATATGGTACCTCTAAGATGAGAGGAGGAAGCTCAAGTGCCTTTTGGTAATAATGGATTGCCAGATGCACTAATCCCAGCTGATGAAGGCCACGGCCTAGGTTATAGAAAGATTCTTGGCACGGTCCACGAAGGCCCAGGTACCGGTGAAGGAAAGAGAATCCCTAGGCACAAAACATACATTGGAAGCTTTATTTTTTGTAAAACAATAAAGCAGCATGTTTTAAATTTGCAAAAAAGAGTATTTTGCCCATAAATATAACTGCCTAATTTAAGACCAAATGTAAAAACTAGCCATCCACTTTCCATGACACACTAGACCAACAGAGGAGATGCTTTGTGGCCTCAGCGTCTCACAGGGTGAAGACAATGGACAGATCTTTCGATAAGCTGTGTGCAAAGTTGTTCAGAATTATTGTTATTTCTATAGCGCTCAAATTTGATAGATACTTTACAGACATGTAAGACAGGCCCGCGCCATGAAGAGCTTACCATCTAAATAGAGAGAAAAAAGGAAAGGAGGAACAAAGGGATACAATGAGATTGTTTGTTTAACCTCATACCTATTACGCTTTAGAACACCACCTCTTGTCTACTATTTTTTTTAAACACTTGCCCACCCCACCCCTCTTTATCCCCATTTGAATTTGAACCTGCTGTGACGTTACACCCCATATTATTTATGGAAATATGCTTATGATATGGATATGGCATAACAGATATACACCTCTACCCCGATATGACACGAATTCGGATATAATGCGGTAAAGCAGTGCTCCAGGGGGGCGGGGCTGCGCACTCCGCAGAGGGGCGGGGCTGCTTTGGATCAAAACAAGTTCAATATAACATGGTTTCACCTATAACGCGGTAAGATTTTTTGGCTCCCGAGGACAGCGTTATATCGGGGTAGAGGTGTATTTTATGGGCTTTATAAGGTATCATCAGAAAGGTTATAATTTACTGAATGTGATTATCCAATTTATATGCATGTATCATTTCTGTATCTTAAGTAAGGAATATTGACTATGTAACAATTACAACTGTGTGTGCATTTGGGAAACACCCACTAGACAACAGGCCATCACCTTTGATGGGCCATTAGGAAGAAACAATAAGACTTCTGAAGATACTAATCGCTCTCCTTCCTGAGAGGTGTCCTGGGACTAGCTGTGACATTACTAGGTCAGGTGGTCCTGTCACCTGGTACAAAACACCATCATGGACTTCTAGTAATTTTCCACTAAAAGGAAGGGGAGGTCAAGACTGGGAAACAAAAGATTCCCGCTTTATGTAAATCTTATTTAAGGCTGGGGATTAAATTGATCTTGGTTCACTCTTCACTGAATTCCCACCCAGGATGACTGCTGGAAACACCTAAGGAACAAGGACAAAGGGAAAGGGGGAGGAGTACTGAACCCAGGCTGGAAAAGGGATCTAGTCTGTGAATAAGATGCTTGAAGATTTAAGCTGCAATCATGGTAGCTAACCTTCAAGAATTTCTGCAACCTGCCCCAAAAGCAGCATTTAGGGTGAGAAATTACTTCCTGAAACCAGTTTCTTTAAGATTTTAAGCTTAGTATGCATGTTTTGTTTTATTTGCTTAGTAATTTGCTTTGTTCTGTTTGCTATCCCTTATAATCACTTAAAATTTACTTTTTATAGTTAAACTTATTTCTTGTTTATAACATAACCCAGTTCATGCAATTCATATCGGGGGGCGAGGGGGGAGAGAGAAGCTGTGCATAGCTCTCTCCACATTGAGGGACAGAGCGAATTTTTATGAGCTTGCGCTGTGCAGATCTTTCTAGACAGCACAAGACGATATTATCTTGGGTTTACTTTCCAGAGGGAAGTTGCACTTGAGTGCTGGGCAATTTCCTAGCTGAATCTTCCCATAGAGAGCTGTTTGCAGACTCTGTGTGATTCTACAGCTGTGCTCCCTACCTGTGTGTGTGCTACAAGAGGCCAGAGAGCCTGATTCAGCAAGACAGAGGGAAAGGAGGACCAGTCTAGTGGAGCCTGCAGGCTCAGTGAAATCCCGGTACATCAGGTGGCATCCCAGAAGTGGGATCCAACCCGTCACACCTGCCCTACATTAATCTGAATTATTATTTCAGACCTCTTCTTTTTATGGCATCAAAAAAAATAGTTAAATAAAGCCTTTACTAGCTTCAAGCCTTTAATACATCACAGTACTACTTCTGGAATACAAATGCATTCACCCCACAGCTTAGTAAAACTCCTGCACTACCAGTTAACTTCACACAGTTACCAGTTGTGGGCAGATGAAAATCTGCAACTTAGCTAATAAAAAAAATTAAAAAGGCAGGAACAAACAGCTCAGAGTAAAGTAATGGACAATTCACATATCCTAAATAAAAAGACAAAGGGTCTAATGCTTTGAGAGTTTTCCCACAGGAACCCAACTCTGGCAGAGCTAAAACTTGCGATTCCCCGTCCGGAGGTTTAGCCACTATACCAGTGTTTTTCAAAGTTCGGGTCGCGACTCAGTACTGGGTCGCGCCATGTAAGGTACTGGGTCGCCTTGCTCAGTACCCGGGGACCCTAGCGGCTCTGGTCAGCACTGCCAACCGGGACGTTAAAAGTCCCGTCGGCGCTGCTGCCCAGCTAAGGCAGGCTAGTACCTACCTGTTCTGACACCGCGCTGCGCCCCAGAAGTGGCCAGCTGCGGGTCCGGCTTCTAGGCAGGTGGGCCACGAGCTCTGCGCGCTGCCCCTGCCCCAAGCACTGGATAATTCCCTTTGCTCTCCCTCTGCCCCCCATTCAGAAGGATCTACTGCCCCCATCCCTATCACCACCTCTGCCACTGACTTGCTATGTAACTTTGGTAAAGTCATTCAACCTCTGTGCCTCAGTTTCTCATCTATAAAATGAGAGATGATACACTTGCCT